GCTCTGCTATAAACAAAGAAATAAGTGGGCTAAAAACCGACATTACCAACGGAAAATTAAAAGAATGTTACCAATCATAAGACCCTAAGAAAAATGGATATATACCAATTGCACAGCCTTCTGGTGGCTCAGCGGTAAGCTTGAAGTCTTATAACGCTAAAATTATTGGCTCGATATCAGCTGTGGGCACAATGCAGATAGCCCATTGGGCAGCTTTGTGCTTAATAATATGTGAAAGCCAGTCGTAAAACAGTTGTAAAAAGTATAAACTAGGAGGGAAATAAGTACAGAAAGAGCATGTGGTATACACTTTATTTATTATTATTATTTTTGTCCATCGCGAGTTGAAATTATTTATTATTGATTGCAATGTACAAACTTATGAATCATAGTCTGTCTGTCTTCTGTGGGTAGTGAAATCAACATTCCTCCCACAGGGAGAAGCTGTAAAATCGACACTGGTAGAACGCGTTAATTTCACAAAGATCACCATGGCTACTGCAAAAACGGGATAGTTTTCATCAGAAGAAAAAAAAAAAACACTTCAAATACGTTTCAATATTGATTATGTTGCTTGACCGATAAAGCAACATCATTGTGAAGGAGTCATCATATATGTATTTATATATATATATTTTAGGCTGTCCTTTTAGTTCACTATCTTGCTAATAGATGGCAATACATTCGGTGACAAACTAATGAGCATGGAAGGCTCTGGGCATGCGCTGTGTTTTGGAAAGCATGTGGTCTCAGTACAGTGCCAATCGTTTCTCTAAATGCCTACTAGTGTACGTTATAAGGTGTTATTATGAAGTTTTGGCACAATGCCAACCGTTGTGCATACCAGAGGTTAAACAGCTGAGCAGACAGCTGGAGTGATGCCTGGATTTCTTAGTAAAGCACGGTTAGCAGCAACATGAGTAATTCAGTGGGGTCAAACATCTCCGTGTCTTCAAGGTAGGTATATACAAGTAAGGTACCGAACATTTTTGCTTAATGATTGTTTTTCTAGAGGAACTAAAAATCTGTTTAAAATTATTTTGTTACAAGTTTGCGCACGTAGATTTCACTGGGTAACTATCGTTACTAATCTGTGTTATTGGTTTGTTTATGTGCCCATACTGTAAATACAAATGTTTATGGATTGTGGCCCGCGGCGGCAAAAACGGCTCCACACTTTGGACTCTTGGGTGCGCTACAAGAGTGAAGGTCAAATCCCTACTATTCGGTCAGACAAGTGTAACCCAAAAGTAGGCTGTGAATGCCTTTGACTAGCTTCCTTCGCTCAATTACCAGTTCAAAATTAGTAATGCTGTTATATAGTTGTTAAGCTAAATTCGTGACTGGTGATTACTATGTAGTAGAAGCCAACAGTGGTTACAAATAACAAATACAGTTTTTCACTAGTGCCTTATGACTGGTGGTTGCTGTGTAGCAGAAACCAACAGTGGTTACAAATAACAAAAAACGTTCTTGCAGCGTAAACACCACGTATTCCATCATCCACCCACTGCCGTTTTCATCTGGTACATTTCATCTCCATGACAACCCGCAGACACCAAGTAAGCAATGGATTGTCGGAAAGGTGCCTTGAGAGGCAGTCATGGGCAGTCAGATGCTTTCTTACTGAGGTAATTTGTCGCAAATGAGGTCTGTAAAAATAAGTCTAGACAGAAGATGTAGAAATTGGGGAGAGGATGAAGCATAAAATTCTGTCAGCATCTGTTTAACGAGTATGGTGGACAGTCACCTTTTATCACAGCCACAGATGATTTCCACACCAAAGATGCCATCATAGCCACAGAGGGTTTCCAAACTTAAGATACCATCATAGCCACAGATGGTTTCCACACCAAAGATGCCATCATAGCCACAGATGGTTTCCAAACTTAAGATGCCATCATAGCTACAGAGGGTTTCCAAACTTAAGATACCATCATGGCCACAGATGGTTTCCAAACTTAAAATGCCATCATGGCCACAGATGGTTTCTAAACTTAAGATGCCATCATAGCCACAGATGGTTTCCAAACTTAAGATATCATCATGGCCACAGATGGTTTCCAAACTTAAGATGCCATCATAGCCACAGATGGTTCCTACAGCAAAGATAGCGAGAGAGCTGGTTGGATGTTCACTAGCTCATGGTGTAACAAGATCCTACATACAGCTGGTGGAACATTCATGATTCCTACAATCAGCACAAGGATAGAGCTGGAAACCATAAAGCAAGCTCACCACTGGACTGCTGAAAGCAATGAACCACAAACAAACATGATATTTATAAATGATTCACAGGCTGTACTATGTAAAATTCAGAGTGCTTGGTCACCAGATAGATGGCAGAAAGCAAAGGAAGTACATGGTAAGAACATCATCCGAATGTATTTGTCAGGCCATGCAAGAGTAAAGCTAAACAATGATGCTGATTAACTCCCAAAGATAAGTCCCACATCAGGGGTCAGCACTTGTCGACGCAACTGTGGGATTATCATCTAGTGCTCAGCTCAACAAAAGCTACGTGTATATTGTGACCAAATGTAACTTTTGTTTTACAGAATTACAGAATTTTAAACAATAAAAAAAATTGTTAAGTTTTCATCTTTTATGAAAAATGTGAAATGCATTTGTTTACGAGACGAGAGGAAAATATCGGCAATATTGTATACATTACAATTTAGGCAACATAACAAAGAGATCCATGAGATTGTTGACCCAGGTTCTGCAACGTGCTTAACCACCATTGTTAGTTAAAACAACATCCATTTTACGTATGAACACCACCATACTTCTCGATCTTAATCTTTAGTAGTTCACGAAAATCATCTTGCTCATTAGAAAAATGTAAACGATCAGTACATATGTGAGATGGTCTGTCGGCATTTCCAACAACTGCTATAGTTACTCTTATAAGCAGTTGCGTTTTCAGCATGACTCCGTACTTCAGCACTGTACTTTTAGTCTCGTTCCGTGAGAGAAGTGGGTGAGCGTGGAGTCGGAGGGAGGCAAGAGATAGTTAAATATGATAGAAAAACACCATTTTAACCAGTAATATTTTGAAAGGGTGTGTATCATTTATGCTTCACAAGCAATAGTTTATTTTCAAGTTTAACCAAGTATTGGTGTGTTACCAAAGCACTGGGTTCAAGGCTAAAATCTGGTTCGATTTACGGCAGAGGACAAAGCGTAGATAGCCCATTGCGTAGCTTTCCGCTAACAACGACAACAATCAACGCATTGAGAGCAAAATCCAACGGTAATTTTAATTATTACCTGTTAGTGTGATAATATACAAACCTTTCGAAATAGTTGGTATTTAGTATCTCCTTTCCCTGAGAAACATCCACATTGTGATGCTAACCTTCTGTGTTGTCTACTAGTAACTCAAGAGCCATGTGTTCCTGAAATATGTCTAAGAAACATCCACACTGTGATGCTAATCCTTTGTGTAGTCTACTAGTATCTTCTCTCTCCGTGTTTCTCAAATCTTTCTGAGAAACATCCACACTGTGATGCTAACCTTCTGTGTTGTCTACTAGTAACTCAAGAGCCATGTGTTCCTGAAATCTGTCTGAGAAATATCCTCACTATGATGCTAACCTTCCGTGTTGTCTACTAGTAACTCAAGAGTCCTGTGTTCCTGAAATCTGTTTGAGAAACATCCACACTGTGACGCTAATCTTTTGCGCAGTCTACTAGCAACTCCTTTACCTGTATTTCTGAAGTCTGTCTGAGAAAAATCCACACTGTGATGACCATCTTCCATTCTGTGAAGTTTTAGTAACTGAACACCATGCAAGTGTCTTAAGTTAAACAAGAAACAGAACGTAGTTCTTTATATGTTTTTACATCGAACGTTTTTACCAGATTGTTGGAAGTGCTATCCTTAAATGAACTTCTTTATTGAACAATAATTTGTGGAATGTATATAAAAGGCGTCATTAGACTTCGTTAATTTTTTTTTTCCACAGGGAGTAACATTGAACGTTTCCACGTTAATCCATTCAACATGAGTTTAACGAAAAATGCGTTAAATTACAAAAAAATAAATGTGACGCCCAATTTGTCATTCGATTTACCATTTGTCACTTGAGTTATACCGGTTTCGGGGAATTACTGTACCATTTGTCACTTGAATTATACCGGTTTCGAGGAATTACTGTACCATTTGTCACTAGAGTTATACTGGTTTCGGAGAATTACTATCCTGAATAATTCACAAGAACAGATAAGCAGCGCTAATACTATATATTCTTCAAGTTCCTATATTAAATAGACATCTTAAAACACTATGAATATAATATACACTCCACCGCTATATGAAGCCTAGTCATATTCTTTTGATTTACTGTTGTTTAGGGTTACAGATGAGGGATAGAATTCCCCATACTGGTATAACTGAATTACAAATGGTAAATCAGATCATATATTGGGCTTCACGCTTATTTTTTAGTATATTAAACTGTTTGTTTGCTGAATTATTCACAAGAATAAGTTAGTAGCATCAGTGCTACATGTTATTGAATTTTCTTTATAAACATAGGATTACTTTGTGAGTAAAAGGCGTCAAAAAATAACGTACATAAAACTGCTTTAACATCGAAAGCTTCTTCGTTAATCATTTTCTACTGGGATTAATGAAAACGGTTTTACCAGTACACAAGTATTTTATCACCAACATCAAGCATTGACAATTTTATATAATTTTAAATTATTTTCAAAATCTGTGTTTTCGAAGTTAGGCCTAATGGTATTGCAATCTTCGATTAAGGTAAATTCATTTCCAGGGGTACGGAAGGTGTCGAGTTCGAGATGTGGTGCGTAATAAAAGTGACAGTCAATCCCGCTATATAATTAACAGAAAATATAAATATAGGTATACTATTTTTTTCTTTGTGTGACATTATTCATCCATTTATTTGCTGATACTACAATGAATAAATATGGATTACAACTTCGTAGTAACAAAAAGTACTAAACATGATTTTGTCCTATTATAGGAGTAGTGACGGAAGGAAGAACAAGGACAAAGACAAGACGACACTACATACAAACCCTGAATTTTCAAACGAATCTAGGAAATCGACGCGGCTCTCACAAGTCGTCCAAGACGCTCGTCACGTGCTTCCACAGGATCAAGAGAGGAAAGACTGTAGAATTTGTATGACTGGACATAAGAATCACTATTGCTCCCCAGAATGTAAAGAGGCGAAGGATTCGGATATTTTGGAACTTAAAGATCAACAATTACTCTTCGGTGAAAATAGGAAGGGTTCTTTAACAGAAACTAAAGGTACGTGTGTACAAGGTTTGGAGAATGTACCTCTGCATAAGGATAAGCATCCATGGAAATTCCAGAACAACATTCCTTTTGACGAAATCAGCAGTAAAGACCTCAAGGACCAAGAATGTCGAGAACTAAGTCCCAGATGCGGGGACAGCGATTCTGACCAGAATCTAAGTGTAGGTTCGACTGTTCACTTGAAACAACACATTAACGAGCTTGACAGAGACTTCACTGGCTTCGTAAACAGCAGAGAAATCGGTGATAGATACTGGTTTGAGAAATGTGATGATGTTTATGAAAGAGTTCCTTTTGCGGAGGATTTACCTGTTTCACAAGAACCAGCTGGAGAGGTTGACCTCGAAATGGCGAGAGAGAAAAGGGATTCTTTAAAGGTTAAAATTTCGCTGTTTTGTTTTTGAATATATAGCTTAGAGTTAGCACTGTTACAGATTGTCAAATTTTGGTTGCTATTAAGTTAAACAGCTCTAGAAAAATAGACACGAAACTAATTGTTTCTAGTAAACTGAAACATGGTTACTGGTTATTTTTAGTAAACATGAAACATGGTCAGCTGTTTCTAGTAAACATGAAACATGGGTACTTTTATCAAACATGTCAGTTATTGTTTCTAGTAAACTGAAACATGGTTACTGGTTATTTCTAGTAAACATGAATCATGGTCAGCTGTTTCTAGTAAACATGAAACATGGTCACTGGTTACTTTTATCAAACATGAAACATGGTCATCTGTTGTTGCGAGAAACTAGAAACATGGTTACTGTATGTTTCTAATAAACATTAAACATTCACACTTCCAAACTTCTCTTAAACTTCTTGATAAGTCATTAAATACTAATGTAAAACTAACAAGAACAGTTATGTATTTTCATTATTATTGAAATAAAACGAGGATGAAAATAATTAATAATTTATTTTATATACATAATATGTTTCTTAAAATGCACTGTTTTAGAACAGTGCCTAAAAAAGAGGTTTGGACAATTATATATATATATATATATTAAATTTAAATACGATCATTTACCATCTGGTGGCCAACTTCCATTTTCCTAAAACAGTTGTTTTCATTATTTTGTGAAGTGTAAGACATGGAAAACCAGGACTGACCTAACGACATTTAACCTGTTAGAAAGAACATGAATAAGTACAGTATAATAATAGAATTGTCATTGCAAATTAGGCCTAAGACTATAGTTGGCATGCATTTGACTAGTCGAAAAAGTTTGATTTTTTAATATTTTTAACACGTTAATCCCTATTCGACATGAAAGCTGTTAAATAATATTTACATAAATACGTAAGTTTGAAGTAGATTTTGTTGTTCTACCCATACATATTCGATATTTTTGTGTGTGTGTGAAATTAACCTGCATGAGACGAGAGGGCTTCTAAAAGCAAGATAGATAAGATGAGTAGACTGGTTTTAGGCATAGTGGACTGATTTTCACGTGCGCGTGGCTAAAGGAACAGCTAGCTAATCACGGCATGCACGTATATAGCAAGACTCGAGTGTTGGCGACAGACTTTCTTATAGATCTTCAGCACAATTAAGAGTTTGAGGACCGTGGAGTAAAAATGAATTAAATTGAAAAACAAAAACCATTGTATGTGACTTACCCTTTGAATGTTGTCATAGAAACGGTTGGATATTCCAGTTGCCTTTTGATTGGCTACTCGGGGTTAATGTTCTATAGTCGTATGGCAAAGAGCATTTCCAAGAAAAGGCTCAAAGTAATTTATTTTGATATTGGTAGCTTACTATTATTTTGACGTTATTAGCTGTTTCAGTACGGGCTCGATCCGACGGACTGACCTCGTAACCATTTTGTGCTTGTTATAGTTTTCATGCTATAACTTTTAAATTAGCAAGCGTATCTTCAGGAAATTTTACAGATTATCAGTAAACATTACAAGGCTTTCGTATGCAAAAT